AGAAGTCTTCTTAAAATTTACACACGAATGAAAGGAGCCATCTTTCTTTTCTCTGAATAAGACCAGAGCAGCAACCCAGGGCCTAGTGGGTTCAATGAATCCCCTTTCCAAATTTTTGTCAATGAATTTTCTCAATTCATCCATTTCTCTAGGGGTCATTGAATAAATCTGAGGTTTAGGGAGTTTCACCCCAGGGAGAATATCAATGCTGCAGTCGGTGGCCCTGTGTGAGGGTAATTTATCAGAAGACGTGTCACTGAAAACATCTTTCAGGTCCCAGTACTCTCTGGGGATTTTTTCCTCCCCCTCAATCGTTTCTTGCCCTCTGGCTGCCAGGTTGGGGTTTGTGCTATTTGGTTGTGGAACCCCTCCTTCCTTCTCAGGGGGTGTAGCAGACCAGATGTGCAACCAACCCTTCCTCCAATTTATGCGGGGGTTCCATTTACGCAGCCAGGGTAATCCCAATATAAGGGGCCAGTCCATTAGTGGGGCTATAATAAAACTTATTGTCTCTTGGTGGGTTCCCATCCACATATCAATAGACTCAGTTACAAAATGAGCAGGGCTCCCTCCCGCAATAGAACCATCCAGTTGGCAAAAAGCGATTGGAGCTTTTAAAGTTTTAAGCTTCAATCCCAGTTTTTCTACTATTTCCGGGCTCATAATGCATCATGTGCATCCGGAATCTAAAAAAGCTAGCATTTTCTCTTGCGCGCCAGAAGAAAGCACCCTTAGCTCAACTGGGATAGTCATGGGTCCTGATCGGGAACTTACCAGGCGTTCATCATCAGATTCGGTTTCAGTCTCTTCCGAAGAGCTAGGGGAATCCTCCCCCCTCTCACCAGGGCGGAAATGCTGAGAAGGTTCCTCCCCCTTCAGAGCAGGTTCTTTTCTCTTGTTGGCAGGTATTTCCAGTCTTTTCTCTCTCCGAGAGGGAAACTTTTGGATCATCTTGATGCGGCAATTAATGGCGCGATGCCCCTCCTTCCCACAGCAGAAACACACGAAGGGTTTTGGTTTGCTTGCAGATCCACTTTTCCCTCCTTTTGGGGTTCCTGGGGGGGTTAGCAGGTGGGGATTTTTCGTTCTCACTCTCCCCCTGGTAATTCAGCCTGGCCAGGTCAATTTCCACATCAGCAACCACTTCATATCAGGGTTGCAGTCTACCGGGGGGCTCCGGTTCATGCAGTGCTGGTAAATCTCTTTGTTTAACCCATCATTGAAATGGTCTAACAATGCTTCTTCAGACCAACCCCTCATAAAAGCTGATAGCTCATGAAATTCTTGTATATAATCAGCTACTGGCCGTTTCCCCTGGGTAAAAGTTTTAAACTTAATTCTTGCTTTACGCTCTGTGAGGGGATCATCAAAGCGTTTTCTCAAAGCCGCCATAAATCCATTATAGTCTCTCAGTAGGGGGGAATCAGCGTTATGCAAGCCCACCATCCATGCCCCTGCTTTATTTTCCAAAGCCATCATAATAACTCTTA